CTCCGGCAGCAGCACACCCCCAACAGTCCATGATCGAATCCCAAATCAGACCCATTAAAAAGATATGTGAAAGCTCTGGCCTCTGGCAGTTTTGATTATATATTTGTCGTTTCAATTTTTAGAGTCGGTAAAGTAGAAGCCGATAAAGTAGAATATTGTAGAATATTGAGCTATGGTGTGCAAAGCTATTGATATCACCATATGAGAAACATAGAATCCAAGTGTGTCACAATTAAAATCCATAGTGTTCAGGCATGGTTCATAGCATAAGATTTACACATGAAATGGATGTGTTTCACAATAAGCACAAAATTAAGTGTGAGACACATGATGATGGCGTGTTGAATTTTTTGAGTGTACTAAATCCATCGTGTTGAGTTGGTTGACCGGGTAAAATTCCAAACTTCTCCATTTTCGTTGGATGTACTGACGGCTCCCGATTCCGGCTGGTACACTCGAGGAAACGTAGCAGACTCATAAATTCAGCATGATTGATCAGTATTTGTGGGAAAAAATAAAAAAAGAAGCAAAAATTAATCATCCTGAAAAATGGATCGAAAAAATAAAATGTCATTACCTTCATTGATCCGCTGCCTTTGGATGCTGGTTATATTCCTAACAGTGGAGTCATCGGTGGCTTGTGGTGGCAATTTTGCCCACAAGATACGTTTTGGCCCGCACCTAAAAAGGAATTATGTTTAATTCGAGGATAATTACGCTCGTAATTACGGCCACTTTCCGGGAAATCTCTCACGTACTGTTAAGTAGAACTATGTAGAACTTACCTTTTTCCTCTCCGGAACAGTAAACTAACATAACGTACCATAACGTGGAATTAACTAGTTATGGTACGCAGCTCCGAAGTTAAAATTCGGAACGGGTCAAATTTTGTTTTCGGCAGGAGACATAACCGAAATAAAAATGGCGCTCGTCGCGATTTTTCATCCAAAATGAAGTACAATCGCAACACTTTATTTTGGATACTTTCAAAGTAAAAGTGACTGTTTTGGTTATACTGCAAGATTAAGTTAAAAGTGCTCATCAATGAGAACAGAAATGTATCCAAAACAGTAGTGTTAGAGAAATACTTATTTTCAAGTATTTTCAATCTCGATTTTGAGTTGTTTCGTTTCTCCGTGTACGTTTTCAGGTTTTTTAACAGTAAGCCTAGAGTCGGTGTATAGAGATTGCTAAAGTATGATTGTGTCAGTGATTTGTTTTCATCGAGAAAATTTTCTGCTATGAAGTTTTTTTTCCCGATGAAAACATTTTGCGTATACGTATACGTGACGTAGTGTGCGTACGATAAACGTCAGCAATCTCTATTGAGTTCTCCAAGCAGGATCTCACGTACACTACACTAATAACATAATTTTACACACACTAGCGTATACTGTCATGTGCACGGTAAGAATCGAACATCCATTTATGAGTAAAAGTGAACCCATTGTCAATAAAAGCGGCACCATTAATTAATGAGTAGTTCATTATGCCAATTAAGTACTCACTGTTAGCTACTATTAGCAGAAACTCATTGTTGTTAAAATAATTGACTCATTAATGAGTAAAGCCACCTTTATAAAAAATGGGTTAACCTTTACTCACAAAAGGGTGCTTGACTGTTACCGTGCAAGCATAGGGTTTGTTTTCGTTTTGTTGTTTATTTTTACTTTAGAATGACAGTTCTTACAGCAAACAAAAAATTTCTCACAGCTAACAAAAAATTTCATCTCACTAACACACGCAAATCGCACCAATACGAACCCTCGTACGAACCCGCCTGGAGAGGACTATAATGAGTCACGCCAAGACAAAAACAGTTGAACTCGCATCACGGGTTTCGAAAGATTCCCTTTCTTTTCACTTGGCAACAGAGGACTGCTACATCAACTTCAAATGACTTCTAGCGAGCAAAAAAAAATAGCAGCTGTTGTAAATCATTATATCAGTGATTTTGTCCCATCATCTTAACAAAAAATTGTAGAAATTCTCATTACTGATCGTTACCAAACGTATCCCATGACAATTTAATGTTCGCTGCGTGTTTATGATCATTTCTCCAATTATGTTTTAAATTTTATTGCAATACCTTTCGTGGACCTTCATAGCATCGTAATGTTTGTTTACTTTGCACGATAGGTAGCCGGTTTGACAGTTCAATAGGTAGACTTGGCTTCACTCTTGGCGTGACTCATTATACACCGACTCTAAGTAAGCCCATGCATTATCTGTCAAAAAACCCGAAAACGTATGCATTGTGCGCCGGCCTTAAGTCTCGGTGTAAGTACGCTCAAAAAATATTGAAATCTAAATAGTATAAAAGTTACGCTAAATAGCAACTCTCCGTACCGACGCAAAGGTTGATATAAAGGGAGAGAATGCAAACTTAGTATAAAAATGGTTTCCCTAATAAATTTATTATGGTTATTTTGCTTAACGACGTGTTTAGGGTATCATCCAAACCATTTGTGAAAAAGTTCGACTGTCTAGGTTATTGTTCGTTTATGGTATTTGTTTATTAGGGTTATGCGTGTCATAGTATAAAATCGAAATATACTCACAATACATAGATACGGTTTATTCAAGAGAATGTATTTTTCGCTTCTTTATTTCATTTATGGTGAATATTATTGTTTTCAAATGAAAATAAAAATTGTCTCAGGAAGCTTTTTTCATAAGTTTATTTTTTATTAATAATATTTAAAAAAATACTTACAATTTCGATGCTGCCCAGCAGATTACAGGCGCAGTAGAAATCTGCTGGGACAAAGCCCTACCCGGAAAAAAATAACCATACAATAACCATAAAATAATATAAAATCACAACACAATCTATTGCCAACAATCGATCCTATTGTATGTATATCATACAAGTAAATTTAAAATATTGTTATTACAATAGATCTACAATACGTTCCATAGAGCATGCATTTTCAACAATAGAAAAACAATAAAATTAATGGTAAATGACTCAAGTTTATTCGGGAAAAAGTGATTTTCTGTACGGTTAAGATACATAACAACCCCCTTGTTCTATTGTAGATTTCCACATTTACCATAGATTCTATTGTGGAAATTATAAATTCTATGGTTGTTTTATCGTTGCTGACAATAAAATTTATTTTAAGTACAATAAATTCTATTGTATGGTTACAATACATTTCATTGTACCTGTATCGTACTTTTTTTTACGGGTACACCAGCACGAAGCTCCAAAGGGAATCCAGATGTTCTTATTCCTGGCATTTTAGAAAATACTGATCGAATTCCACTCCGTTATTCGGACTTATAGTACGTTCAGACTACAGAGTTATAACATGTTATAACGGTTGTCAAATAGTTGCAACACAGAAACCACCCTCAAGATAGCGCTATAACATGTTATAACTCCGTAGTCTGAACAAGGCATTAGTATAATTTTGAAGAAGGTTTTAATCGAACCAATGATTAAATTTTGTAAAACCATAAAATGCATAAAATTTAATCTATATTCGTTTTGTAATATTTTTGAGTGTAGGAAAAATGCCGTTGGGTCTTTTATCTTAAACGCCGGCCAGACTGGCGAGTTATAACATGTTATAACGGTTGTCAAATAATTGCAACACAGAAAGCACCATCAAGATAGCGCTATAACATGTTATAACTCTGTAGTCTGAACGTACTATTACCGTGTACATATCTTAAATATTTAAACCAAAATTTAGCGTGTAATCATTGGTAGCAAGTTTCTGGGCACACTATTCCTATGATTTTGACAGTTGGCTGGATGGATGATGTTGTTTTCCTGAGCCGGTGTAAAAGGTCGATACCCCATAAAAAATCCTCCCGATTTTCCCTTCGACTAAATCGGTTCACGTCGGTAAGATCGACCGACTATGAAACCGACGTATTTATAAATTGTTGCATCGACTCTTATGGGACTGCTTAAGGGGAGGCTGCCGACAGGTCAGCACACTAAATCGGTAGTCGAAAACATAGGAAATCAGTCAACCAGAAGCGACCAAATTGAACGGTTAGTAGGATGACAGAATTGTAGCAGGGATTCTATGAAACCAGACGAAATATACTTATTGATCAGTTTATTAAATTGTTTCTACGATGGAAACAGATTAAGGCGATAAATAAATCAGCATACGAAATTGATGAAACCAAATGAAATAGAATGGTTAATCGGTTCATTCAGTTGTTTGTATGATGGAAAAGATTAAGTCAACTGTTAAATCGGCTTATGAAATTGATGAAACCAGATGAAATACACTAATTAATCGGGTAATTAAATTGGATTCTTTAGGGGTATTGGGGTAATTGCATATTCGTAATCTGCATTACAAATGGAATCGAAATTCAAAATTTCATCAATTTTGAAGCACTGGAACTACTTTAAATAAGTGTGATTACATTAGCAAAAATCACCATCTTAGCGTTCCTCGATGGTACTTAATATGGAACGAGCTGTCAGTTTGTTAGTTTTGTGTCAAACAGTGAAGTGATCATTTTGCTTCAATCAAGATTAAAAATTGAGATGGAAGTAAATGGGATCGAAAAAAAATATTGTTGTGCTCAGAGAACATAATTATTACGCCAAGTACTCCAGTACATTCTTGCCATTGTAAGATTTCAACAAAAAAAAAAAAAACAAAACTATTAATACCAACTTACCAGGTTGTAATGATATTTAATAATAAAGTTGCACTCACTTAGTCTAACTATGCCACTATTTTATAACCACTAGCTAAATCGACATCGTCTGTATATTAATATGTACACTAAAATAAACACCGATTAAAAAACATACAATTGCCGGATTTTACAATAGATAAAATCTATGGCTGTCGGTCCCGGCGGTATTCGATTTAATACATTAACGAATATGTTGACAATAATAACTAGTGTACTAATCCCGACGTTGTCGGTTTATTAATAGGCCTTTTTTGTAAACAACCGATTTCGCCGGTCGACAGTGAAATTCCCCATCTGTCAAATTTTTTATGGGGTAGTTTTACAATCTGTAACATTTACAGATTTAATCTGTCAGTAATTTAGTTACTAATATAATTATAGTTGATTAAAGTGTGTGAAACATTTTATTTTTCAAAGCTTCGAGTATATGTTGCCTTGTCCTGAAATTTATTTTTCCTTGACCTGATGAAAGGTTCTACCAGCAGTGTATCATCGTACACTAAACAAATTACAATTAAGGGTTTATTCACCAGCATTGTTTGCCTGAATAATATTTCCAATTACAATTTTCTGTGGCTTGGAGGATGTCTTTTATCGCTGCAGAAATCAAAGGTTTTCAGGTAAGTAACGACCGTCGTGAAGAGCTTAGATGATGCTAATCCATAAACTAAACAATTTAGGAATTCCAAACGGATGTTCTGCTGCAAGTTTTAAACTCCAAACGTTTACTTATCGACCATGTTGAGTTGCTGGAAGAGTGTCTGGAGGACACCGTAGGACAAACTAAACGCAAATCTAATTTTACTGCCATCAGGCTTTTGCTGAGTTCGATTCCTGTAGCAACAACTTTTTTGACCGGACAATCTAGTCATAAATGGGTTTATCCGCTGTCTGGGTTGACCGCAGCCTATGGAACTAGTTGTTGCATCAAATGGGCTAACCAACATCGTTTCCGACAGCAAAGAAAGTTACTTACGCGGTTTATCCAATCCCTGGAACAATTCGAGATGGCAGTTAAGAAGAATCTACTTTTTTTGAACGAAAGTCAGCACATACGAACGATGCAAATCGCACTGGATAAATCCGGACTGGATGTTGGCTTCTATGCTGCAAATTGTGCAAAATGTTGTATTGATACAATCAAAGTGATACATGCTGCTGTACAGCACTTGGAACAGCAATTTACGCTAACTCCAAAATGGAATGGTTTATATTCACCTATAGAGCCATTGGAAGATTGCGATATGTTTTCTGAAGAAGCCGTTGCAAATTTAGGTGAGCCAAAAGCAATAAAGGTAAGTCCGATTAAAAGTTTTGATGATTCCATTTCAATAATTGATTGCTTTCAGGATAATTACAACATCTTTGCCTACATCCAATCTCAGTACTTAACGAGACTTGCGCTCTCAGTTGCAAGTGGCCTTTCGAATTTTGCATTTTTTAATCTTCCTGAACTTTGTGAAAAACTGGATGATCAAAAAGCTTTATGCATGAAGCATCTCAATTTAATATTTGATTCAAATCGAGAACGTGCTCCGCGCGTTGATATCAAAGTACTTCCACCAGAGTTGTCCAACCTTCGATCCTTGTCTATGGGATTATCTGCTAAGCTGTACAGCACTGTTCATCGGTATAATCAACTTGAAGAATCGTTGGAAGAAATTGCCGCAAACTCCAAAGATGTAAAATTGACTTCACAGCTTCAAGCACTAGAACCTCCAGTTGAAGACATTATCAACGATCTGAATGCCTCCGCTGAAGAATGTCAGCGATTGCTGATAACATTGAAAAAGATACTCAACAAGGATGACGAAAGTATTCCATTAGAAATTGATCCACGATTCAAAGAGAATTTAGAGCAGGCACTGGATTCGGTTCCAAACGTGGAACGAATTTTCTCTGAACAGGATAAACCATGTATCAGAGATGAGTTCTTCGCAGTGGATGGCACTGAACAAGATTGGTTGGACGATGATGAACAAAGATCCCTTGCTTCTGTGGATAATTTGGAAAACATCAATTCAAAGATTGTAAAGCGACACTTCAAACCGGTTCTGAAGCAGCTTCGGGAACGGATCGAACCAATTGGAGTTGAATTCAAGGAACGAGAGAAGCGAGCACTAAAGGATAAAGGAATAGACGTTGAGATTTCGGAGCAAGAGGAAGAAGATGACGAGGATGGTAGCTTAGATCACGTACCTGTAAAGCGGACACTGTATAGTAGTGACTCGGAAGACGATCGAGAGGAGGATGAACGAAGTGCAATCAAGTTTCAGAGAAGCGTCCAGCGGTACGATGACATCCGAGGTTTTTTGGCTACAAAGGAGCAAATGAATATCTTTGGGCTGAAACCAATGACAAGCGTGGTTAACGAAGACGTGCTTGAGTAACAGTGAACCTGAGCTGAATTTTACTGTTTTATTTATTGTATGTTGAATAAGGTCGTGTAGGGTACAAGCAATATAAAGTTTGCTTTTTTATAACAATAGAGTGTACAATGCGCTATTTTTCAATGCTGACAGCCATAGTTCCGATCGATGCCACTAGAATGCCATCTCCAGGGTTGCTACAGCTGGCGCGGAATGTGCGAGAAGCTTATCAACAAATGGTTTTAGTTGATTTTAATTTCTATATTTTTATTGCTATCAATAAATCTCATCTAACTTACTCAGTTAATTTAAAAAAGATAATTTGTTGCAAAAACAATCATACGACTTTAAGTCCTATCAATAGCGAAAGGAAGATTAATTCATCTTACTTATATCACCGACGGTGCTTATATCATGCTTTTCAAAAACTCATGGAAAATCCGGGATTATCGAAACTTCAGAAACTTAGAAACCCGAGGAACTTAAAGATATTCTTGACTATTGAGACTTGAGCTCCAGAAACGCCACTGTGGCAGACAAAGTAGAGTTTCGAATAATAATTAGTATTTCAAACTACACCCTATCTACAATGCCCAAGTTTCGAAATCACATAGATTGTTCCAGTACTACCCTGATCACTGATTTTAAAGTTTGTTCCGGAAGTTCCTGGAATTTTCGAAGTGGATGATGCACTGTAACTTCCTACTTACTTAACGATCCTGCGCACCTCCAGGACTGCAAAGGGCCTTTGTGAAAGATTTCCATCCTGGGCAATTACTAGCTTTGGCCTTGACCTGTGCCCAAATTTCGGTCAACGTTCTTAATTTCATTGTTTAGGCTCCGCCGCCACGAGCCTCTGGGTCTGCCTCTGCTGCGACGTCCTGCTGGATTCCAGTCCAGTGCTTGTTTGCAGATTTCGTTTTCGCTCCGTCGTAGTGTGTGGCCGACCCACCTTCACTTCCGTTCACGAATTTCTGTCTCTATCGGCTTCTGATGGCACAAACGATGAAGCTCGGAATTTGAGATCCAATTGTGGGGCCACCAGGCACGAGTTAAGTACCGCAGGCATCGGTTGATAAACACCTGCAGCTTCTGAGTGTTCTCCGCTTTTACACAGCATGTTTCACTGACGTATAATAGCACAGACTTCACGTTCGAGTTAAAAATTCGGATTTTGGTGCGTCGACTGATCTGATTCGCTCTCCATACATTTCGCAAAAGCAGCCCTCACCTTCTTAATCCGTGCACCTATGTCGCTCTTGGTACCGCCGTCCGACGCTATTTGGCTGCCAAGATATTGGAAGCTTTCAACTTTTTCCACTGCCTGCCCAGGTACCGTGAAATTGGAACGGTTTTCCATGTTGACATCCAACGGTTTGGTCTTGTTGACGTTGATGGTTAGACCTGCTTCAGAGGAGCGTTCCACAAGGTCGTCGAGCTTACTCTGCACGTCAGAGCGCCTTTGTGCTAATAACGCAACATCATCAGCCAAATCGAAGTCGTTGAGATGCTCCAGAGTAATAGGCTGCCACAGCAACCCACGGTTCGGTATACGGTCAACGGCTCCAACCACGATCTCGTCGATTACGATGAGGAACAGTAGCGGTGATAATATACATCCTTGCCTCACACCCGCGATTACCCGAATCGGGTCAGACAAAGCTCCGTTGTGCATGAGAAAGCCTCGTACTGCGCTTCGATTAGGTTGACGATCTTATCAGGGACTTCCTTGCGTCTCAGAGCGCCCCACAAGCTTATTCGTAGTCAATGAATACCAAGTACAGGGACTCTTGGAACTCATTGACCTGCTCCAAGATGATGCGGAGCGTGACAATATGGTCCACACAGGATCTTCCAGCACGGAATCCTGCCTGCTGTCGTCGGAGAGTCGCGTCGATCTTCTCCTGTCTCCAATTGAGGATAACTTTACACAGAACTTTGAAAACAATACACAGTAACATGATGCCTCGCCAGTTGTCGCATACAGTTGGATCCCCCTTCTTGGGGACTTTTACCAAGACGCCCTGCATCCAGCCGGCCGGAAAAGTCGCGGTGTCCCAGATATTGACGAATAGTTGGTGCAACATTTGTGAGGATAGCATGGGGTCAGCTTTGAGCATCTCTGCTGATATGCGATCGACCCCCGGGGCTTTGTTGGACTTCATACTTCGGATGGCTGCTTCTATCTCCTGCAATGATGGAGCTTCAGTGTTGACGCGAGTAACGCGCCTCACCCTTGGCGGATCATGCCGAGATGTCGAGAAGTTGTTCAAAGTGCTCAAACCAACGTTTCAACTGGTCAGTGGGGTCGGTGAGCAACTGACCAGTCGCGTCTTTCACATGCATCCTTGGGTTGCCCCGCTCAGGCGTCGTGAAACATCATAGAGGAGGCGGATATCGCCAGTTGCTGCGGCTTTCTCCCCTTCATCAGCCAAGGAGTCCACCCACGCTCGCTTGTCCCGTATACAGGAACGCTTAACTTCCATCTCTAAAGTCGAATACTGCTGACGGGCCTCGTTCTTGGCTGCTCGGGTCCTTGCTCGCTCTATCGCGGCTTTTGCTTCTCTCCACTCCTCGATCTTCCTCCAGGTTTCATCGGTGATCCACTCCTTCCTCTGAGTGCGCAGCCTAGGGGTACGCAAAAGCCTTTAACTCCAACGCAGGCAACGGCTGTAATTAAATTAATTCCATTAACTACTGCCACAAACGAAGTGACAGACGGAGCGTCTCGAAAACTTTGGTGACTAACCTGCTATTTCAATTTTTCAGTGTACCACATGGCAACACCAGTACTACTGGATTGTACCACATGGCAACACTACTACTGGATTGTATTAGCATTTTCACCAAATGTATTAGAATGTTTTGGTTCTATCTCTTTCACTCTACTCAAAACTGAAATGCATAAAAAAATGACAAAATGATACGCACTCTTTGCACACTGTCAAAGAATCATTGTACACAAAATCAACTTTGTTCAAATGAAAACAAAAAAACTAACCCATCTGGTGGATGATGGCACAAGCTTCCAAGAAAATTCTATTACAGTGAACCACATTATTTTAATGGATTTCTTCGCCAGTTAGTCGTCTGTCACTTCGTTTGTGCTACTGCTTTAATTACATTACTTACACCATGTTGAACATTAACTACTTTTCAGTACTACTTCAAAACGCATTAATTACTTTAAGTACTTTTGATTGCATTTTAACCAAAGATGAAACTGTCGGAAGAAAAACTTTCTATTTTAGTGTCTTCTTTCACGGTCCCTTTCATCCAATGAGAACCCCCCGTATTCAAGGTAATTTTGTGGTTTTGCTGCCCCCTCGGAAGAGATGAAATTTTGCGCTCATTTTTATCAAAACAATCACACCAAAATCAGAGATGTCCCATTTTTTATTTACTCGATTAACAACTAATCGATTATTTTTTGTTCGCTGTGCTGCCATTTTTCCACCAATGAGAGCCCAAGTAGCATTTCTTGTTTTATTGCACTCTATTAGCGGTTATTGAGATCAATTTCATAAAACCGCCAATAAAATTAATAGCTCCAGCACAACCTTTTGATAACCGCTATAAGATCGTCATACAGCTTAGTGGACCACCCTTGATAAGGTTTATAAAGCATGTTTGAGAATTACAATAAAGCTGTCTTAAAACCTTTTGTCAGGAAGCCTCATACTCTATAAAAGGTTCTCATAGCCTCTATAAGAGTAATATTGTATCCAAGCAGTTTTATGACGCTTTGGTGAAAATCAGTTATAAAGCCAATTTAATTTTTATTGCATCAAAGCAACCGCCATAAATTAGCTTGTTGTTGTTCTGTTCTGCTGAAACTTTTTTTTTCCAAATGGAAATCTTTAGCGGTAAAAATAGGTTTGAGTGTTGGTGTCAAGATCACCATGCAATCAATTTTGTTTCATGGCGACATTAGTGAAAATCTTAAAGAAAATATATTACTTTTTAGAAGTTCCAAAACATATGCGCTTGAAATGTCATCGTGTATATTGAGATAATATGAGCGTTAAATAAATGCGCCTCCAAAATAATTCAACTTAACAAAAAAGATTGTTTCAGAAATCAAATGAATTTGATGGAATCACCTTAATTTTACAGAAAATAGATCTCAATACACAAATTCATACCAATGCACACTGGAAATCATTTCGGATCTCTTATCTAGCCATTATTTTATTGAAATTTCTTGGATTTTATTCCAAGGCTAATGGCATTTTCATAATGACAATATGGCGACAGAGGACAGCAGGCAAGAAAAACATCAAGCGCAATTTCTTAAAATGTCTAATGCTTACATTGCATACTGGGTCAGGAATGCAACCTAGCGGAGCAAAATTAATAACTCCGAAACGGAGCATTTCCGCGACTTGGTGTCTTCGGCAAAATTTCTCGTCATAATAAGGACCATCTATTGACATAAACAAATAGTTCAAAACTCTTCCGCAAAGATAGTGCCACAATCTTACTTCTTTCTCTGTCGTTTTGGAGACTTTATGTCTTAGGCAAAGTTGTTTATCTTGACAAAATGAACAGCTCTTTCAAAGACATTAAATTTCCACTGTCTACTGGTTCCAAGTTATATGGAGTTAAAGAAAAAATGTCGAAAATATGGTTTTTTCTGTTTCGGTTTTTTTGCTTACAGCTTTATAATGTTATATTTTTCTCTTATGCAAATACATTAAATAAATAGCTCTTGTGAAGAAACATACTGTATTAAGCTTCAAATTTCAAAGATATTGTTGAAAAAACGAGAAAAAAATACAATTTTTGAACATTAATATCTCCCAAAGCGCAAAAAATCGCAACCTGACATTTTCAGCAAAAATTAAGCAATACTCGATTAACAAAATATCAAAATTTGAGAGAGGTATATTTTGGTGATTTTTTTTAGATTTCTTCATTTTAGTGGAACATGATTTTTTTCTATAACTTTTTTTAATGCATTGAATTTGTGTTTCGAAGACTTCAAGACTTTTTCAAAGTTGGTTATCTTGATAAAATAAACAACTTTTCTTAATACGTTAAAACTTCACAGCCTACAGCCGTTAATAACTTATTCACAGAATCGTTTCTTGATGTCG